TTAGTTCAGTGCCCGGCATATAGTGGTCCTCAATCAGTATGTGTGTGATAGATGTAAAAATGAGCTTTATAAGGTGGTAGTGAGGAGTAAATGAGTTAACACATACAAAGCTTTGACATACAGTCTAAAAACTAGCACACAATAAGCACTAAACAAATATCTACAAAGGATGACACACTGCAATATTGAGATTTGCAGGATGGAAAGATGCATGCTGGGAAGGAATTATTTTTGTTTAATAATAAATAATCATAAGCTATTGATAGAAGAAAACAGGTTTAAAAATAATAAAATCTGGGTACAGTAGGATAATGGTAGGATAAAATCTGGGTACAGTAGGATAATGGTAGGGCGAGGATAATTCTTGAAGCTTGAGAGTATATCTGAAACACATAAAAAGTAGGAAACGCATATATTTTGTGATTTCAGTTGTAGGTCAAGTAAGAGCAAGAAATGGATAACTTCAACGAATTCTAAGAATATTGTCAGGAGCCCTGAACCATGGGAGCGGGGAGTTCTGGGTTCACTCCTGGCATTGGGGGGGATGGGGGTAAGCAGGGGACAGCTGAGGGGACCTGGGTCCCTTCCTCCCCACAGTGCTTATTTCCTGGTGGAATTGTGGTTCTGACGCACTCGTGACAACTCTTCATCCTTATGAAGGTCGCACCACGTGGCAGGTCACCCTAGCTGGAAAGCACAGACCCAGGACAGGCTCCAGCCGCCTCCTCGGCCTGTGGTTCTGCTGCCCACCTCCTGGCAGGAAGTGGCGGTGCAGTCATTCCCTCCTGAGAGATGGCCGATAACAAAAGCCAGCAGAAGTGCATTCCGAGAGGCAGGGAGGGATCGCACAGCCCCCAAGTGAGGTCATGCTAGTCAGCAGTTAGAAAAGCAGGCATTTCTCACACTTGCTAATGAGCCTGACGCTCGTGAAACATAAACAGGAAGCGGGAGCTCTCCAGAGCGGCCCGGAGGAAATCCACTCCCAATTTGGTCAACGTGTGAAGCCCGGTTCTCTGGGTTGTCAAGGTCACTGCCAATTAAGACTGAGCGACATCCTCCCCCACCCCCGCCCCCCTGCACCCGAGGCGCAGCTGGACCCGGCCCAGCAGTGACCCCTTTTTCAGCCCTCCCCGCAGCCGGGTCACCCCGTCGGCGGCGGGGTGACCGACCCAGGCGGGGGAGAGGCCGACAGTCATCTCTGGACTCCGGGGCGGGCGGCGGGGCAGGGCAGCGCGGAGGTCAGTGAAATCCCCGCCGGGCCTTATTTTAGTCACGAATTTCCACTGGCTCCCTCCTCCGACTGCATCCGCGGGACTCGCGCCGCGGCCGTGGCCTGCGAGCCGCGCTCCCGGCTCCGGGTCGAGTGAGAAGGTCACGGGGGCCGGACTTCTGCGGGGGCGGCGGCGGGCGGCCCACGGCGGCGGGCACGGACCTGGGGCGCGTGGAGGGGGCCCTTCGCCCCCGGGCTTCTCCCCCTCCTCCTCTACCCAGGCATCTCAGTTCGTATGAAATAAAATTATAAAGCAAAACCACAAAACCGCAAAAAAAAAAAAAACCTTATCATTTTTTCTCTACCAGCCAGTGGCCCCGACATAATTGTCCCAGGCTGCCCCCTTCCCAGAGGCTCCCGTCCACTCGGGAGCAGAACCTGTGTTGGGTGTCCCCCGTTTCTCTACAACGGGCACCGCGTGGGGGCTCAGCGACGCGCGTGAACGCCGCGCTTCTCGGGCACCGGCGCGGTCTCCCCCCCCGCCCCCCCAGCTCTGCGCGCAGACCGCACACGGCGCCGCCAAGGTCCTGGCCGGCCCGGCGGGCACACCGCGCCCCGGGCCTCGGTCTCCCGGCCGCGCACAGGCCCCCGACGCTGCGGCCCGAGCCCCGGCCACGTGCAGCGTCCCGCCCCGGCCGCGGCAGGGCAGGCGTCGCCGCCGCGGTTGTGTAACTGCAGCCGGAGGGGGGTCGGCCGGGAGCCCCGCTCCCACGGGGGCAGAGGGAAGGGAGCCGCGCCGGGCGCCTGTCTGTGCTTGACTCGTGAGGTGGGTGGGGGGCGCCGGGGGGCTGCGCACGTGGGTGCCCGCGGCCCGCAGGCTGCGCCCGCCGGCGGAGCTCCCGGGAGCCGGGGGCCGCGGCGCGGTCAGGTGCGCGCGGCGTGCTCGCCGGCGGCCTCGGCTGCCCCTGCGCTTGGCCGCCCG